TGTGTGTGTGGGTCAGTCAGTAAACGGAAAGCACAAAAACGTTTCCACAACAATCCAAGCAAGCAAGCAACACAACGGCGATGAGCGAGCGGGAAGGAGCAGGTTGGTCCACCAGCCAGATCGATGGTGTGTGTGTGTGTGTGTGTGTGTGTGTGTGTGTGTGTGTGTTGTGTGTGTGTCTGTTGCTCGTGCAACCTGCACACGCCAGTGGACACTGGTGGTGCAGCTCAGCTTTGATCTCACTCAACCCTGTGTTTGCTTGCAACAAGACTACTCTGCGCTGCAACAGCGCATGAACATGGTGGTGGCCGCATCCAAATACGCCCGTGCAACGACGTAATGTCCAGCATGCGTGGCAAGCACTGCTGCTGCTGTTGTTGTTGTGTAGTGTGTGTCTTCGAGTGGCTGTCGGCGTCCTCCCTGCTTGCTTGCTTCCTTGCTCCCTCCTTTGCCTCGCTTGCTCCCCTTGCCATCTCACCGGCTGTCACATACTGCACCCACACCCCGCGCACATGCACCAATACAGGGCGGAGGAGCTGATGGCAACTGTGAGTGTTTGTGCTCCGTCTCAGGGTGCTTGTCGGGCGCATCTTCCCGTGTGCCTGGCTGACGCCATGTGTGCCTGTGGGTCTGTGTGCTGTGTGCATGCGCAGGCACATCCGCATTACACGAGAGTCACGCGCCTGGCCTGCCTTGCTTGTGTCGTGCCACGACGCCTGTGTACCTTGCAGAACGAGCTCAAGCGTGGGTACGTCCGAGACGCATCAGAGATGATGGATGATGACGATGACGAAGATGAGGAAGAAGCGGCTGCCAACCTGGTAAGACTTTCATGCAAGCACGTACGCTCGCCTTCCTTCTCTGCTCGACTGCTTCGATGTGTGTGTGCTGGTGACGACTCCTTTGATACGTGCGTTGGTCGGCTCCCTTGCGTACTTGGCACACACACACACACACACACACACACACACACACACACACACACACACACACACACACACACACAGCCCCAGAAGCAAGGCCGCAAGCTGCAGTGAAGTGCACACACACACACACACACACACACAAGCATCTTAAGATGGCTGTGCGCCCAGTGTTCATCTCTTCCCTTCCACTTCCAACTTGCTCCCGTTCGTCTTGATTGTTGTCTGTGCCCTGGTTACACTCTCTGGGTGGTTGGTCTGTGCCGTGTTGGTCTGTGCAGTGCCACATGTCACTGAAGTGGTGCGTGCGAATGGTACCATGATGTATGGAAGGAAGGTGGGATTAAAAGAACCCGCAAACAAGCAAGGATACTACCATCAGCGTACCACAGCATAAACACACACACACACACACACACACACACACACACACGCACACACACACACATGTTCAGCTACAAGGGGATTACGCATGTCGGGGTGAAGTGAGGGCGTCATAGGTGAGCAAGCAACAACTACAGCACATTATATGCCGTGCATGCGTGTGCAAACAGGGCGGGTGCACATGAAGGCAACAAGGCAGAACGTTTCAGGTGCGCTCGCTTGATCCGCTGGTGTTGCCACATTCGTATCCGTCAGGGCTCACCACGGCCACGACCACGACCACGACCGCAGCTGTGTACCAGACGAGCAGGGAAACACACACGTGAGTGCTTGTGGTGGAAAAAAAAACACGAAGATACAAGTGCAAAGGCGGGCACATGCAACGGATCACGTTAGCCGTCACCACCACCACCAACATCACAACAAAACGCCATCACTGCGAGCGGTGTGCAGTGCCAGCACCGTACCAGCAGGACGAGGAGGAAGAGGAGGATGCAGGTGAGGAGGGTGAGGCGTTCACGTGCGAGCATGCGTTCGACCGTCAACATTCGCTGCTCAAGCGCCTGCACCTCTCGCTCCCACGTGTTGGACGGCAGCGAAGCAGCAGCAGCAGTCAGGTCACCAGGCGTCACAGGGGTCACCGCCTATTGCGTGCAATGATGATTATGATGATGAGGAGGCGGTGGTGGTGATAATGGTGGGGGTGAGCAATTGGTCAAGTCAATCCTGAGTGAGCATGTGCTCAACGCCGAGTAAACACGCGACAACACAGACACATCTGACACACACACACGCGCGCGCGCGCGTGCACACGCACACACACATATATACATGCATAAACATATACATGTACGCACGCACACGCACACACACACACACGCACGCACGCACGCACGCACGCACGCACACGTGTGTGCACCTTGGACATGGGGGATGTTGCGTATGTCGGGGCGCGTGCGCGTGTGTATGCGGCGACATCAACAGCGGCGTGCGAGTCCGTGTCTGTGTGTACGGACGCGTGGCGGCGCCGGAGCGTAGGCGGGGAAGCCGTGTCACCGCTGATCTGCAGCCCAGCGTCGTCCACCGTCAGCACCTTGAGCTCGCCCTGCTGCTGGTACTCGTACACGTCCTGGCCGTAGTCCCACGCGCGGTCAATGGTGGTTGTGCACAGCCACCCGTCGCTCTGCGGCGCAAAGAACTTGCTGTAGTAGCGATCGTTGCTCTGATGGTCGTGGCAACAATGGTGGTTAGGGTGGTGAGGGCGGTGAGGAGGGGTGGAGAGGCATGCCAGAGACGCGAGGGGTGATGGTGGCTCGGTTTGCAAAAGTAGGCACACACACACACACACACACGCACACACATTGACACACACATTTACACACATTTACACACACATTTACACGCACATTAACACTCGCACACATTTACACACGCTTACACGCACGACACTCAACCACAATGACGCCCCCGGGCATCACCTGCTGCGCTGCGGTCCTGATGATGCGATCGTATGCGGCCTGCGCAGCGCCGATTGAGGACTGCAGGAGGGCGCGCTGGACAGCCGCCCACAGCACCTGCGAATCAGTCACATCCTGAAACAGGGACAAGGGGGGGGGGGGAGTGATGCCATGTGGTTAGCAGTACGAAAGCATGGTTATAGATGCGTGTGTGTGTGTGCGTGTATGTGTGTATGTGTGACACGCCTCAACAGGCACCCAAACACACAGGCAAAGCGAGTGCGCGTACCACGTCTGTGGACGCCTGTGTCCAGAGATGGGACGGAGCGACGACGCGCTTGGAAAGGCGGCGCGCCCGAAGCTCCGCAGATGTGCATGCTAGCAGCAGCTGCAGGTTGAAGACATGTGGAGGCGGTGAGAGGGGGGGGGGAGATGCCACATATGTCACATGTGGCAGGCTTTTCTTGCGTTTCTTGCCGAGCATTTGCAACCCACATACCACACACAGAGCACACAGCACACACACACACATACACACACATACACACACACACACACACACACACACACACACACAGAGCACACACATACACACACATACACACAGAGCACACACATGCACACACATACACACACACAGAGCACATACACACACAGCTCACACACACCCCCCACCTGCTGTGTTTCGCCGCGGGCGATGTGAATGCCACCAGACCACGAGCCCGAGATGGTGAGGCCGTCTGTCTCCGCGTCCGTGACGCGACCCGTCACACTTCCACGCACGTGCGTATCCACGTGCATCGTGCAGCTAATGGTGGTGTTAAGGGGGGGGGAGGGGCAAAGCAGCGCGGAGGAGGGATGGTGACGATAAGATGGCGATGACATCGCAGTGAGTGAGGACGCGTATCATGCACACTGGCGAGGGGTAATACCAACGTCGAGAGGCAGTCCGTTATGGCACACACACACACACACACACATACACATACACATACACACACACATACACACACACACACATACACACACACCTGAGCCCCGTGGCTGCGCAGGCGACCTTGAGGGCGCCCTGCAGGCATGTTGACGTGCGGCCGTTGATGACGCCGCGGGTGACGCGTTTTGGCAGCTGCACGCTGTACGTCTCTCCAAAGTGGTCCAGGCGCACAGATATCGTGCCATGGTACTCGTGCGTGATGGTGTTGCCTGCACGCAACAACAACAACAACAACAACAACAACAACAACAACAACAACAACAACAACAACAACAACAACAACAACAACAACAACAACAACAACAACAACAACAACAACAACAGGTGTGTGAGGGGCAAGAGTGGTGGTGGTGGTGATGATTTGCTTGGTGAGGGCAAGATAGTGCTGAGGTGTCATTGGGACATCATCATTTGTCATGTCACAATCACGCCCACTTGACACACCTCCGAGTCTATGCGACCGCGCGCTTTACGACCATCAACACATGCAAACCACCTCTAAGCACAGCCCACAGGCCATGCTCTGCGAACTCCAACAACAAGATGCCCGCTGCTGCTGTGGTGACGCACCAAAGAATTTCGTCGTTGGGGCGAGGGAGCCAAGGACACGCCAGCCAGCCTGCCGGTTTGTCAGCTCAAAGGCGACCGTGTGGTTCGAGGAATCAACCTGCATGTGCGGACGAGAGAAGATGCGGCGGTGTCGGGCGGGGGTGTCAGTTCGAGGATACACTGCCACGCATCAATGCAAAGGCCAACGCTCATGCAGAGCCCAAACACTATTGCACACGGTGTTGGCACAGTGCTGGCACATGGAAGCACGCACACTTGTACATGCACGCAATGAAACAACCAAAACAAACCAAAACAAACCAAAACAAAACAAAACAAACAAGCATCGGCCAACGCACGAGTTCAGCGACGAAGAATGCGCGCGTGGGCGGGGTTGCGCTGTGCTGTGGGCACTCAAAGTGGCAGCGGAAGACTTCGCCGGGGGCAGCGGGGAGCGGGACCGCCATTCCTGCTGGTCGGTTGCACAGCGCTGACACGGCCCACCGCAGCACACACACAACCCGGCACCGGGGCAGCTGTTGCATGGTGGCGATGGTGGTGGTGGTGGTGGTGGTGGTGATTGTGCGTTGATGCAGTATGTGTGATGTGAGAGGAGGTGGTGATATGATGGGCAATAAATGCAATGCGGCAGCCCAACCGAGCAAACAACACATATTCACACACATTCACACACATTCACACACGTTCACACACATTTGCCTAGCACTTGCAGTGGCACCTTGTGCTTTGCGGCGTCTGTGATGAAGTCTGCGTGGAGGAAGAGGTCTGAGAGGCGCTGAAGCTCGGACTGTGGCTGCCGCAACTCAATTGGCACAGGCAGCGACGCACCAACGTCAAGCTGATTTCGGGTGCAGTTGTAGGAATGCCGAGTGGGAGGAAGTAACGATGAGACGTTAAATCAGCAGTGATGGTCCATCTGACTCGAGATTGCTCGCACACACACACGCACACACGCGCGCACACACACCAAGCATACACACACACACACAAAACACACACACAAACAAAGCATACACACACACACACACACACACACACACACACACACACACACACACACACACACACACACACAAAGCACACACCTTTGCTGCAATTGCCCAGAGGCGGTTCCTTGTCTCGTCGCTGAGGACCTGCGCTGGCGCCGTGTCATCATCGGAGATGAGCGGCGCAGTCGGCACCCACTCCGTCTCGTCCACAGCAACCGGGGGCGCAGGCGGGCTGTACTCTGATGTGTACATACACACACATACACACAAACGCACGCACGCACGCACACATACACACACATATGCACACGCACACACACGTGCACGCGCACGCGCGGAGTGGCGGAATGATGGGCACATGAACGGACCAAGAGAGACGGAGGCAGAGGAATTTCATGTGAGTTTCTCCACATGTAGGGCATGACGAAACCGCACCCAGCATAACACACAAGACACACAGACACACAGACACAGACACACAGACACAGACACACAGACACAGACACAGACACAGACACAGACACACACACACACAGACACAGACACACACACACAGACACAGACACAGACACACACAGACACACACACACACAGACACACACACACACACACACACACACACGCGCGCGCGCGCGCGCGCGAGACCCCTCCCCTCCCCCTCCCCTAATTCGCACCTGCTGGCGGGCTGGAGCGAGGCTGCGGCACAACATCGTCGGCATCATCCTGGTCCTTGTCCTCGTTCTCCGCCTGCTGCGTGCCTGCCGCCCTCAGCCGCTTCTGAAGACTCAGCGACAGCGCCGACGGCTGCTCCAGCGATGGGGCCAAATCACCCCCAGAGCCTGCCCGCCCACGTGCACCCGCGGGACCAGACGTGCCGAGGCGAGACAGCGGGGAGCGCGCAACAAGGTCGTCGTCGTCATCAACCAGCCCCGTGGTGATGGCGCCTGTCATGAGCTCATCGTAGGCCGGGTGAGCGCCGTAAATGGCGTGCTTGAAGGCGGCAATCCACTCGTCGCACTCCTCGGCAGTGGCCACGCGGAAGATACAGTGGTCTGAGGGCATGCGCAGCAGGTTGATCCACAGCTCCCCGCGCGGGCCCTGGGGCGACACAGTTGAAGGAGATGACAAGGGTGGTGGCGTGAAGGCGGTGAGAGTAAGTGGTGCGGAGGTGGTGGTGGTGGGGGTGGGGCTGGGCAGAGATGAGTTGAGCATAGACACGTGGGCAACACCAACAGCACAACACAGCGCAGCAGCATTGGAGCGTACTCTAGGCGCGTGGATGGACTGCTTAAGCGGGTGGGAGAACTTGAAGGTGAATCCTTCCTTTCTGCTCGGCCGCTCAATCACCTGACAGCACCAGCAACAATGACAGCACCAGCAGCAACAATGACAGCACCAGCAACATCAACAACAAGGACAGCAGCATCACCACCAGCATCATCAACACAAGTGAGGCCACCGGTGAGTTCGTGTCTTGAGTGCGCAGCAGCAGCAGCACTATCAGCAGCAAGCATTCAGCACGTGAGCGCAGCGTGTGACGGACGCACCAGCCCGCCGGAAAGGAGAATGGTGTCCATCCAGGCGTCGTGCTTGTCCTCCTTGTACATGATCAGCATACCGTGGCGCAGCTCACAGTAGAATTTGACCCAGCTGCGCAGCTGGTTGCGCACCTGTTCCCCGCAACAGCACCCAGCGGCACGGCCAAGAAGAGCGACATTAACACACGTGCACATATGCAAAGCCAAGCACAAGCACGTTCACGCACCCAAAGGGTGTATGGGACAAACACAGACACACATAACAAACGCACATCACGTATCACACATCACACATCACATATCATACACCCCACAAACACATCACACGCATCGCGTACGCGTGGCACACACGCAGCACACACCAGAAACACACCTTCAGCAGCCCTGTCTTGATGGTCTTCAAGGACAGGTCGTAGCCAGTACGATGCAGCATGCGCTGCTTCTCCTCTTCATACTTTTCACGTTTCGCCTGTCAACCGCATCAAACAAAGATTGGGAGTGAAGCTGTCAATACACACACAGAGAGAGCGAGAGGCAGGGAGAGACAGAGGGGGGGGGGAGAGACAGAGAGAGAGAGACAGACAGAGACAGAGAGAGACAGAGACAGACACACACACACACGCACATGTACACGCACGCACACGCACGCACACATGCACACACACACCACCACCACCACCACCACTTACGCGATATTTCCGCTCTTGAATCGCACGCTGCTTGCGTGAGTCTCGGTCAAAAAGACCGGCAAACGCCCTGCGGGCAAGGCACAACAAAACAAAACAACCAGCATCAGCCGAGAGCAGTAACGTTCGCATGGATGACCCAGCACACGCCCAGGCTCCAATCGGCAGGAATCACAGGCGGACACAAACAAAACCTACGAAGCGGATTCGTGGCTGTGGAACTGGTGATGCGGGTGGTGATCACCCAAGTCATCATCATGGTCGTCCACGTCGTGCCCGTGGTTGCTGTACTCCGTTGAGTGCTCACTCATCGCCGGTCTCTCCTGTTTGTTGCGTTTTCCTCTCCAAACGACAAAACAGCACACGCGCGCCCGTTGTCTCTCTGCACTGCTTGTCGATGTGTGCCAATGGCAAGGCGTCCACCAATCAACAACAAGGAACAACAAGGAAGGAAAGACAAGGAAAGACAGCACAGCAACTCACAACAAGCAACAGGCGGCGCAGAAAGCGAACCCGCCACCATTGATGCGCCTTTGGAAATTTCGTCGGTGTTATCAACAGATATCTCACCTACACCCGCTGCGTGCACTGGAGTTGTGTCCTCTGCACTGTGGTGTATTGGTTGGTAATGTGTAACAAGCCGCAGCTTCTGTGAGAAGATGCAGGGGGGAGAGATGCGTTCCACAACATGCAAGCGAAGTAGGAAACATAAGCACGAGAAGCACGATGTGTACAAAGTAACCCCAAAAGGTCAAAGAAACCTGGAAACAGACGCCTGGCGATCGTTCACAAGTCCACAGGAAAGACAGGAATCATGCAAAGAAATCAAGGAGACAAAGGAAAAGGGCTACGAGCAGCATCAAAAGCAACCGAGTTCACGCCAGACAACATCCACAACAGACTGTGGTAAACAGCGCACAAAGGAAGAAGCATCCATCTCTCCCTTGTGAAACGCCACGCACTGCTTCACGCAACCACCAAGCACAGCCTCAGCGCTGTCTCCTCCATGCAGCTCTTCCAGGCACTCGAGCACACGCAGGGACACATTGCATGATGTCTGCGCAACGCACACGGAGTCGCTCATCACTTCATCAAAGCCAGCCCCCAACAACGCCTTCACATATGCAACACAGCCTGCACGCCCATCCTCAAAGTCGAACGTGCGCTCTTCTGCATCGCTGTCGCTGCTGTCGTGTGCAAGCAGCTGCACAGCTTGCGTGTCCTGTTGACCCGCCAAGGCGTGCACGATGCTGGCGCTGAGTAGACGTGCGCCAAGGTAGGCGCGGCCTCGCTGCAGGTTGCGCACGGCCTGCTCCTCCAACTGCTGCTGTTGCTCTGGCGTGCGGCAGCCGTCAAAGTGCGGGAAAATGAGTGCTGGGTTGTGTTGCAGGAAGCCGAAGAAGCCCCAGTTGCCCGCCAACGCCGCCATCCAGTCCTGGACGGCGATCGCCTTGGTGTCCCGCAGGGCGGGATTGAGCTCAGGCAGCAGCTTCCACGTGTTGGCCAGGAACCCGCGCGTGTCTGCATACGCGAAGTTCCCCACGTCGCGGGCGGCCATTTGACACGCGCTGTGCATCATGCGGCGCGCTGCCAAGGCAGCATGCGCAGGGGCAAGGAGCAGGTCCTCTGTTGCCACGGCCACGCACCGGGTGTACAGCATGTCAACACTGTGCTGAGTGCGGAAGGGAATGGTCGCCTCAATGCACACGCACAGATGCAGCAGCTGCATCTCGTCCAGGAAAGGCGCAAGCATGTCCACAGCAACGACGCAGCTCAGGAACTCGTTGAGCCCCTGCGCGCCAATCTCGAACGGCAGTGTCTCGCCAGGCACGTGCCCGAACACCTTGTAGCAGATACGATGTGCTGCCGTGCGGCGTCGTGCAGATACTGCTGCAACGTCAGCGCTGCTGTCGTCCTGGCTCCACCAAGACTGTGTTGTTTGCAGGGCGCTGCTCATTGTGTTCTTCGATGCGAGCGTGGCCGCATCCTGGTTGTCGATTGTTGTGGTTGTGGTTGTGGTTGCGGTTGCGTCAGAGTCTGAGCTGTCCACACTCGCTGCCCTGCTCAAGCCTCTGGTTGAGGGTGCACTTGGTTGAATTGGGGGAAGCGTTACGTCGGTTGTGTGCTCGCCTTGGAAAGAAGTGTCACTGATGGCCCCGCCTGCCATGAGGGCGAGATCGGCGGGGTTGCTCAGGGCAAATGCACGCTGCAGCGTACCAGCAGGCGAGCTCGCGAGCAGCTGTGGAGATGACACAATGACCTGCACACTGGAGGTGTCGCTGCCCCGCTCCTGCGCTGCTATTGTTGTTGTTGTTGTGTGTCGTCGTCTTGTTGTGTGTTTTGTTGTGGTGGTTGTTGTGGTTGTGCGTTGCTCACTGGTGATGAAAGAGAGGTTGTGGGCGTGGGGCACGGGCAGGAGGCGTGCACGCTGGAAGATGGGCAGGAAGAAGGGCGCAATG